TATATATATATATATATATATATATATATATATATATATATATATATATATATATAATATAATATAATATAAAATATATAATAGGAACCAATATTCATATGGAATAATGACAATATATTCCTTAAAACATCAGTGTATGTTTCTGAGATCTTATATCGTAACTATTTACACTATTTATATTGTTCGGGCTATTTTCCTCGTCTTTACTTTCACATTCACAACATTCAGAACGTTTCGGCCGTTGTACGCTCCGGCCTTCAGTGTCTACTATCATCATCTTTATTTTCTGAGTTGAGAGGGGTTCTTTTCTTTTCTTTTACTTTTTTCTCGCGAAATTTTCATTTTCTTTATACTTTGGTCTAGAATTTATCATGAACCATTCCAGTTCACCTTCTGATTTCCGTGTTAATTTTTAATCCTCTGTTAAAACACTTGCCAGGTATTTAAATTTTTTACAGTTGCTTGATTATAATATCACAAATACGAATCTCGGTTCATTGGGTGTTTCTCTTGCTAGCAACAACAATATATAAATATTTGGTGAATTAATTTAGTATTTCATTTTCGAGTTGAATAACTCTCAATATACTTGTTATATTTCGAACGAGTGTTATCGTTTTGGTTGATATATATATATATATATATATATATATATATATTCGCTTCTAGCGTCTTATATGCACGTGTTTATCGTTCCTTAGAAATCATCTATGTAAACAATGACAGACTATCATCACTGTCTTGTCCGTATATTGCTTAATATGTTGTAATTGTCATCTTTGAAAATGGCTTATGTAAGCCGAAAGCTTAGATTGTATTAAAAAATATGGATCAATATTGTGAATTCCTTTCTTCGTTCAATGATAATGTTATTAAACTTATCAGACGTTACGAAAAGAATTTACATAAAATAAATAGACAACACTTGTCTATATTATTTAATGAAAAGTGTATGAATGAAAAGATGCTGCCTAAATACACACACAATACATATATATATATATATATATATATATATATATATATATATATATATATATATATAAAAAAGGGTCGCTTGAAAAAAAAATCTGTTGAATTTAGCAAGTCTCGTGTCAACTTTGTGTTACTTCAGACTTTAGCAGCCAGTCTCATAAGGTTTATCTTATTACCCAGTCCAGTAGAACTTGGTGTCAGATTGGGACAGACAAACTCTATGATATTGGCTGCTAAAAGCTAAAACAAAATAAAAATTACACTAGATGTGTTAAACTCAACAACTCTTTTATTGCAGTTTTCGTTCGGTTTCTTTTGCTCTCAGCATTCCCTAATGGTACCTGAGATGCTTACAAATCATCATCAACATTGATGTGATGGAACAATTGCCAAGCGTTACAACAGGTGGGACTTTGCGAAGAGCCATGATCACGAATGTCTTGAAGTGCCATGGCTTATAGGAGAAGAGCAACAACGAGGAATATAATGTTTCAAATAATTAATCAAACCACCCAATCTTCTTTAAATAAAGATATTATCTCCATTATAAACATATTTTTATTTTCTTAGAATTAATCTACAAATTAGAATATCATAAATATTTGATGTGTTAAGGAAAAGTCGTCTTAAGTTTGTTTGTTTTTCTGTCGATATCAATTTAGAGTTTCTTTTCGTTTTTATTTTAGATGAGTCATTTTTCAGGATAACAGATTTAATTTTATTTTTTATTCAGTAAATGATGTTCAAACATAATTCTGACTTTGCAAACCGCCTCATATTTTAAAAACACCCATTAATAATGTCAACTTTGAATTTCTCAAATCTATATCTATAATTCTCAAAATGTGCGTGTATGTATGTCTGTGCGTGATCGGATGTTGTTTATGCACATTTTTCATTCGGTTTGATAGATGATTCTTCAGTGCCGGTTCTAAGTGCAAATTGTTGGCGAAAATGGCTCTCCACTACTTCCTGTCCATTATAACTCTAATCAACGTTTTACTACATACTATTTGTTCTTGGATATATATCTTTCATAAAGACTTTAATAAAAATAAATAGTTTAAATTATTATAATAATACTATTTATTATTATAAACTTCCCCTTTTCAGGGCCACTCCCCCATTCAAATTGTTAACCCCCACATTTGGAGATGTGCATCAGTTGCACCCAAATGTTGTTATTAATATTAATTTTTGGGTGGACTGACTTTAAAATTAAACTGCTCCAATTGAGCGGAATAATTCCCAGTAATGAAAGACCCGCTAGAAGACGGTTTATACTGCTAATTCTGAATAATTCTGACTTATACCTCACAGTCATTGCTTCAGGGAACAACTATTTTACATACGCTGGAAAGGTTGAATCAAAGACAGTTTGAGAAAAGTGCTCAGGACCCTAACTTCTTTCTACAACTGATAATCTGTTTAAAGTTTTAACCTAATTATAAATTATAAGTAATATCTTATAACAAAACGGCGTTTCTGACAAGCAATATTAAATCAATATATTATTTTGTTCCTTTTTTTTTTTTGAACACTAGAAGCCTTCGCGAAATTCAACCGAGTTTCATATGCTCAAAGATAATTTCCGAACAATTAGATTCTCGCTTTTTAATTCTTCCGAATCATTGCTATAATCACAAGCGATAAATGGTGTTGAGAATTCTGTTGTTCTTGTGTGGAAGAACTAGGCAATTTTCGAGACGTTCCTTCTTGATGGCTCATTGCGCTTCAGTGATGTTCGTGGCAAAATTAATTATCTGGCCACCTTTTTTTCGAAAAATATTCCAAGACGTTTAGTAAAGTTCTATATAAATACATTCGTAGGAATTGGCTTCCTACAAGAGAACACATATTTGCACATTTGTTCACACTGTGTACAGATCACATCAAAATAAGAACAGAGTGCGATGACTAAATTGTCGCCATTTTATATTTTTAATTTCGTGCATGAGTTGTTTTTTATTTTTTTATTTATTATTTTTTCGACTGTACTCTTATAAGGTTCATTTGGGCACCGTCTGTGAGAAAAAAGATCACCATGACGTAATTCACTCCAGCAAAAATTTGGAAATGGCATTTGCGCCGGAAGCACCAATAGGAACATTTTGGGGTGGTTGTGTGTAAATCTAAAGACAGTGTAGAGGATTCGGATTTGGATGAGTCTAATGGGCACTATGGAGATGCGGCACCTCGAAAAACAGAGCGTTCCGATAAGAGAGCACTCCGGAAATTGTTAGTGAGGGCCTCAGACTCAAATAAAGAATAAAAGTAAAAAAATTCAAAGCTTATTTTGATTAATATGCAATGACAGATAAACAGTGATGCAAGATCACTGTATATCTCTATTATTTAGCTTCATCTGCGTTTTTCTTATGATAGTGGGAGCAGTAACTTTCCTCGTCTACAAATATTTTTCCGTCAGGGCTTGATTTTAGGAACTTTGCCATGTGTTCCAAATAAAAATATAATCTATTAAATCCAAAATCTAATAGATGTTTTTGGTACGCATTGCTGGAGTGAACTCAAACTGTTAGCTTAATTTTCTCTTGCTTTAAAAAAGAATGTTTTCTCTTTTTTTTTTTACGGTAACTACCTTTCTGTTTGTTTAGTGTAATTAAAGGTATTCTTGTGCAAATTTCTATATTAAAAAACTAATGGTCACTTCAAATAATTATCAATGGTACGCAATTATCCAGAGACGCATATGTCTCGGGACGCAAATGTCCAGAGACGAAATTGTCTCTTACGCAAATGTCCGGGACGTAAATGTCTGGGACGTAAATGTCCGGGAAATAAATGTCCGGGACGTAAATGTCCAGTACGCAACTGTCTTCTGTCTACCATTTCTAGAGTATATTGTCTTCTGTAGTGAAAGTAGCTGATGTACCTACTACGGAAAATTACCCTAAATATTTTTAGTAGGGCGGCCCACCTTGTGATCAGCCATAGGTTACGCCGACCATTACTCGAAAAAGTTTGCTCATGATTGGTTTAGAATTTATTAATTCCAATTTCTTATGTTTTTTATTATATATTAAGTGTATGTTCCATCACTTATTACATTCTACTTCCAGACATAGGCAATCGTAAGTTTCGAGGAAGTTCTTGTGTTTTTCATTTTTAATCATTTCACCCCATGCAAAGGGGAAAAGCCACTAAGACACAAGTGGTTAATGAGTGTGAAGAAATGAGAAAAAATGAGAAACATTACTAAGGAGCGAGTCAGTAGATAACGATTGATATAGCATATGAATTTTTCGAGATCAAAATTGGCTTGAAAGCATGGAACCGGAAGAGAATTTCACGAGCGAGAAGTCCGAGGGAAGGAACTGTTAGTTTAGAAATTCCGGTTAAATCTAGCCAATTCAACTGTCAATTGATGAGATCTTGTTGCCAGTCTAGTGCTGCGCTTAAATTCATAAAGTTTAAGCTATGATCCATGCGTAATGCACGCTTAGCCTATCACGTATCTTTCGATACATGACTGACGAAGTAATTCTTTTCCCGCAGTAGTTTGCTATTTCTTTCTGCAGTAGACCAATTGCCATCCCAGGCTATAGAACCCGGTCTTTTCTTCTATTTACTCATAGGTGGATGGAGAAGAAGACGATACATACCTTTCCCAAGGGTATTAGCACGTAAGTGAATGATTTCAACTGCGATTCGAACGTGATTCCTCAATCCGAGCCGCTATCTTTTACTCCACCGTGCCTATGAGGTCATCCGAACAGTATCATAAAAGTGTTTATAGAAAAGCCACAAGGAAACTGCATTACGGGGGAGGGGGGAAATGACTGAAGTCGAACCGACAGGTGAGGACTGAATGAAAAAATGGGGGAGAATTAAAAACATCGGTTGATAAAATATTTTGTCTTGAACTATAGAACAAACGTGTATTCTCTGTAGAATGCAGGAATTCTACTTAGACTTGCTTCTATTCGATTTACCGACATCTCTTAGATACCACGCGACCGGTGTTCCAAACGCAATTATTTCTTACAATCATGAACATTTGCATTAAGAAGAGAACATGTGGAAATTATCTTTACTTTTCAAATGTATAATTTGATGGAGAACAACAGCCTCTATCATTAATGCATACGCTTGGAAAATTTCGGACAGACTAGCAAAATGTTTACAACTAGAAATACAGGGTATAATTCAAACTACACCGAAGAAATCACCATTAATTTAATCCATAATATAGTGAAGAGATTGCTGCTGAAAGAAACCTGCTTTCATGTACTTTCAAGTGTAAGACATTTTACTCAATTCAGTGTAAATTCGCGTGTAACTTTATATTAATAATTGAATAACATTCACTAACAAATCTAGATTAATATCCCAGTTATTATTTCTGAATAAATCCTAGAAGCTGAAAATCTCTGATAGACAGACACTATAATAAATCATTATCCGGGAAATATGCCAGAAGAATTAGTATTGAAAGGTCGCACGGTGACTACAATACTAAGGTTCACAAAAGTACTGATAAAGGCATTGGACATTTAAGAACAATTCTCAAACGAATCTTGCAGCAACTACCAAACAACAATGCCCTTTCAATATTGACCAGAATACACCGATTGCCTCTCTTATTGGTAAGATTTCTAGAAACAAACGCCAAATACTTAGCAAATGCTTACGGAATCAAATTTAAAGGCCTAGAATGTTCAAATTTCGAATCAAGTCAAATTTCGAATCATGTAGACTTGAATGTCAACATTTTTTTTATTTCCGAAGCAAACCCTTAGAGTTGGAAATATGAACAGATTGTATTTACGTAACTCTACAACCAGGTAAATGTATATCTGACTCAAATATAAAATACTATTAATTACATATTTCGGATGTAAGTAAATATGTATAGGTTCAACTACTTTGGTATAGGTAACTCCAATGATTAAAGCATAAAAAATACGTCGATAGCCATCTTGCACATTTACAAGTCTACCATTAACCGTGAATTGAATGATGTTGACATATCTGCCCTGGTGCTTCTGTTGTACATCTCGAGATTTTTGACAAAATTCAAAGAACATTCTGTAGTGTAATCTATACTGACCGGGCCTCTAAATTTCAGTTACTTTCTCACCGATGTGACGTTTAGTCCCGCTGTTTTTTAATAAAAGATTTTCGTGGTAAATATCCTAATGAGCATTTTTTCTCTGATACCTCGACTACATGTATAAATGCGTGCCACTAGATTCTTCATTGTTGTACTAGCTTGACGCAACCATCACTTCTAATTCAATAGTTTTTTTTTCTTGTACTTCTCCTCATTTGCGATTGCTTGCTTCCTTTCCAGCTACATCTTCAAAAATTTTAATGTCAGTTCTCATCTGTCGTTTTAACTCCTGTTTCTTTATTGTTCTATCCTCACTCCTTGAAGTCATTATTTTCACTCCCTGTAACTTACTGCTTCCTATAGACATTATCGCCTTGCTTTGACGCGGGTAGAAATTATTAAAAACAACTTTTAATATAGATATAAATTGCGCAATTAGGTCACTCCACCGCGGTTTAATGGTTAGCAAATTTGTCTCGCTAAAACAGTTATGACAGAATAGTGAGTTCGATCCTCTCTGGGTGCCCCATACATTCGGCCTTGTGCCACATCTAAGCTACGCTTAGAAAATCAATACATAAGTTACTCAATTTCAATGTATTCAATGCTGTCAGTATGAGTCATTAGATGCTGAAGGGAAACACTGAAAATAATAGAAATATTAAATGATTATAGAATACTCAAATATATTCAACGCTTATACTGGGTTTGTTGCCTGAGTGAAATCTATACGGATGCTTAGAACGTAATTACGTTTTATCAGAAAGTTTTTGACAGTGTGAGGGTTCATTATTTACATTATTCGGACTATTGTCCTCATCTTTGTCACCATATTTAACACAACGTTTCGGCCGTTGTACGCTCCGGCCTTCTTCAGGTGGTTGGAATTTCGAACTGAACCCTTTATTTCGCTCACTGAGATAGACTGTTTGGATGTCAGTTATCAGTTATCACCTGCTAATTTCCCTCTGAAAGTTCTCCACTGCCTTAACCGGGTATTGAACTCACACTCTTTGGGTCCTGTCATTGGATCTAACCAAAGCCTTTATCCACTGTTCCATGTGTCCTTGAGACAGACTCTGAGGGTTAGGGTTATCAAACATTTGTGAATTAAGTACATTTCTTATGGGTCATTTAATGCCAAAATTTAATTTTCTTGGGAGCTTCAAAGTAATAAACGTATATGTTAATCTGCTTTCACAATTGAATACATGGTTGATGATACTCCGCTTTTGTGTATATACATTTTTGTGTGCATATAATTACAAGAGGCCGTGTTACATGTCTTTTATGTTGTAGTTTTGCTGAAGTTATATTTTGGAATACAGTTTAATTTATGAAATTTTACGAAAAAAAGTATTGCTGGTAATTTTTTTATATTTTCTACAAGAATGTATTGCTGGTACATTTTACTATAAAAGTGTATACTTTATACTTCCATAATTCTGAGCCAGCTTGGCGGTTAACTCTTTCCCCTTAGTTGGTTTAAAGTTGAAATATATATTCTTTATTTCTATTTATATATGTCTCTATACATGATTTATTCATAATTATAATTTAATTAGCTATTTAAGAAATATATATTCTTGACATAATTCTTTATTTTCTGGGTGAATATTGTATCAACATTTTTTTTAGAATAACAATGATTTCACTAGACACAACTCCTACTATTTAATCTATTCTTTGGTGATAGATTCATGGCTTTCCAAAAAGTATTTTCGCGTATTATTCCAGATACGATTATAAATACAAATGTAGTTAATTTAATTTAAACATTTGTAAAAAGTTGAGAGTAGTTTAGTTACTGATGAAAATAAATCTTTATTTAGAAAACGATAAAAATCAGATTGCTTAATGGACTAATATTTACTTATCACTAGGATCGGCTAAATGCTTACAAACTCAAATGTAAATAACAAATATTTACTTATCATAGAAGCAATATATACATACTGATATAAAGAGCTAATATTTTCCAAGTAAATGCTTAGAGTTTAAGTTAAAAACGGCCACTAGTCAAATAACTCGAACACGATTACATAGTCAAATAAAACGACCATTATTTACATCTATACAAAGTAAATAAATGCAGAGTTGTCATTTGTGCTGTATTTATAAAGGATAGCCGGTTAAAATAGGTTTTAGAATGGACAAACTATTTTTGAGGAAAAACAGAAAACTGTATATATAAACGCAATAGCTGCCATTTTTCTAAAAGAAGTAACATTTTCATAAGTCAGGAGGCTTTTCTTAGCGTTTTATAAATATTTATTAAATTTAATTTATATGTTTAGACATTCAGCTAAGCTGTAATTTTGTTCCAGAACTATATATTTGACTTAGTGTATAAACCACGTGTAAAAGTGTAATATATTTCAGCCCCCGCGTGTTTAATTATTATGTTTATTACGTGGACTTTCCTTTCAGCATCTGATGACACACAAAGATGGCATATTTATTAATTCATTTTATTGTCTTATCATTTCACCGCAAGTAAATCAATAAAACCACCAAGGCGCGAGAAATTACTCATTGTGAAAGAATATAAGAAAAGGAAAACATTATAAATCATCGAGAAGAATAACATAACAGGAATAGACAATTCAATTAAATTTTTGAAAACTAAACTTGGCTGGAAAGCAAGAAACCTGAAGAGAATCTCGATTCAGTGCTTGAAAAGAAGCTGCTAGCATAGAACTTAGAGTTATATCTAGCCATTTCAATGTGTCAAATTATGAGACCTAAGCCCCACTCTAGTACTGCGCTTGAATTT